CCGACCTGTCAACATCACACTGCCCACCCCCCCTGAAACATAAAAGTATGAACACACTTTTTGCGCTAATATAATGGATACTGAGGTAGAGGTTAGTCAGGTAACTAAAATGTTTCACTCCATTGACTTGACAATGCATTCCGACATCCGTTTTGCACCTCATCGCGTTTCTTTAGGCTTTTGTTTTTCGCTGCTTCTCTTAGCCCTTTCCTGTCGCACCGCCAACTACAAAGGGAATCCCAAACTATAGGTGGTCCCATCGAATGCCATCTCCTCCTGGCCAAAGGTAATCCGAGAGCCGTGTTAGGGACGCTTTTGTGCCGGCTTCATTAGCCTTCAAATCGGCGACAGACAGACAGAATCCTACAATTATGGCCTAGCATTTATGCACCGAGTAGAAGAGGACAGCCCCTGACAGCGAGCGAGAAACAAAAGCAAAAGTGTGGCTAAATTTAGAACCACCGACTAAAGTCACCCAACTCTGTGGGGTCTTTAGGTTGAGTAACCGCAAGAGGGGAGCCACTGGTGGAGCAGAGGGACATGTGGCGGAGGGGATTGACTTTTCCCTGACGCCTTCTAATTGCTGCTCGGTGAGCGGAAGCCAAGAGTTTCGGTTCTATTTTTACATGCACAAACTCACACACATTAGCCAAGGAGGAGCAGGAGGAGGAGCAACTGCCTCAAGGAGGGGGAAACCTAATGTGGAACAAACTCAAGGAGTTCACCAGAGAGACTTTGAGCACCAAAGAAGTGCATAATTCTCTGGCGAAGAGAGAGTTTTGAATGTTTAAATGCCTGAAACCGGGTTGGATTCTTTGATGACAGTCATAAATATGTAAAAGGGAATATTCTTTAAATCAGAGAGACAGGTGAGCCATTTGTAAAGGTTTATATTTTTCATATTTGTAGGGGAATTTAATGAGTAAAAATGAGTTAAAATGAAGATAAAGTTAATGGAAAATGTCAATAAATTCTTTGATCTTCAAGAGATCTACAAAAGAAAGATTTGGTGTGGTGATATTGTTTTACAAATAATTAAATAGTCTACTGGGATATAGTATATATTCTAGGGAATATTTTGCACTATTTTTGGGTATATATATAAAGTAATTTATGATATATAGCTAACAAAACCAAAAATTAAAGATTAAATTCAACAATTTACGGAAAAAGAGCTTTCCCAGAGCTGCTGTGTAAGTTTAGTTTGAATAAAAGCATTTATTTTATAATAAACTACAGCTAAAAGTACTTCTAATCATAGAAAATTAACGTGATATTCAATATTTTTGTTAAAGACTTTTTTATTATCCTTAAGAGATGGTTTCTATTAGGTCTTAAGAACATAAAGTAACTCGATTTTGAACCGTTTTCAAAGCAATAATGACTAAACCAATAAATTAATCAGGAAATTCAAAGATTAGTTCCTTAGTTTAGGTGTTTAACCTTTAATCTGCCTGCTTATAATAACAATTACACATAAAATTCTACAATTTAAGAATTTAGTTTTTAACAAAACATTAAGTTAATAAAAGAGAACAGCTAAGACTACTTGTAAAACAAAAAATAAAGTTAATATCTAACATAAATTTATATGAAAACATTATTACATTATAATTATTAAGAGGTGGCTTCTTTTACATTTCAAGAACTTTAAGAAAGTCTGTTTAAAACAGTTTCCAATGAAATAAAAACCAAATTCAATCAATTGATCAGGAAATTCAAACCGTAGTTTCTTGGTTTAGGTGTTTAACCTTAAATCTGCCTACTTATGACCAGCTCCACTTCCTCAACTTGTTGACACAGTTGTTCTACCCACTGGGCATATTGACTCAAATGACTTTCACACTCAAATGGTAAACATTATTTGTATTTTTTCTTCATGAACACTTGAATCCAACACTTTGCTCCGTTCGGGGTAATTCAATATTGTAACTCGAGTTATTTATAAATTAGGAAATGCGGCCAGGAACAGCTAAGACAACAAAATCGATCAACTAGTTCTCCAGTTTTTGTGGATCATTTACATACATGTTCCTCGACTTGTTTCACGGCTGTCAAGTGTTTTTTTTTTTTTTTTTTTTGTGAACCTCTATCAGTTCTGGTTTAATTGTTTAACAATTAAAAAATACTGGTGCGATTGATTGTGCAAATTTCATTGGGGGTCATTCTGCTAGTTTTTTTAAAGATCAGTCACGCGTTTGAAGCATTCTCTCACTCTGCTCATGGGCACATTTTTGATTTCTATTCGCACTTAGCCCACTAAAAAGCAAAATTTCGCCTCGGGGGCAAAGATCTCTGTAGCGGATCCGCAAATAATTTTTTTGGGTGATCAATTAAACTCATTCCGAACCAGAGTTGTGCCAGAAAAATGCTTTTGACAAACGAATAATTAATTTTTACAGGCACTCAAAGCTATGAGCAGGAACAAAGCCAGACACTTGGGGGCTGTCACTGATCAGATAATATTTTAAACAGAACACAAGATTTCTCAACCCTTTTACACAGATACAATTGAAAACTGCACAGATATGCTGTTCTACTTAAATATTAACAAGAACAGCAATAAAAGCAAAAAACAAATCAGACTTTATTAGGGTCAGATGTTTAAAAATACAATTTTTACACAGAACAAAAACGAGAACATCACCAAAAATATGAAATAATTATTAATTAGGGCAAGTGAGAGGAGAGGAAAAAGTGCAACAAGTAAAATATTATCAAGAGAGCTGAGTAATTTTGAGATCTTTAGTATAGGTTCTTTAAACTTTACAAATTCTACTATTAAATACCTTTAACTTTTTCAACTCATGTAAAGTATTATTTTGGCATTCTTCTCTCGTTTCTTTCTATCTTATCTTGAGCTCTCTTTTAGAAAAATGAGATTAGGTATTCTCCAGCCATAAGATGGCTTATCTCATATTTCAAACGACTTAAGATCTATCTGTATCTTAGTATCTTCAACATTCTAACACCTTAATTTGCATAGCTTAACCAGACATCAAACAAAAGCCAACTTTCCCATTTTATAGATCTTATTTTTCTTGGCTTTGGTTTTGGTTTTCTTCTATGTTTTATGTTGTTTATTAAATTCAAATTCCAAAAACCTATCAACTCTTGGGCGTTGTTTTGTCGTAAATTTTTATGTTTTTATGGTTTTTTTGGTGACCCAACTTGGTCGCCGGGGTAAATACAATAAACGATTTTCACTTTTTCTCTTGGCGTCTTAGTGGGTTTTTTTATGTTTCCCTACGCTTTGATTAGTTTTTGTTATTTTAATTAGTTTTCAGTGGCATTTTTTCGTATCGTTATTTTCTTTTTCTCGAATTCTAAAACCCCGGTTCCATAGAAACGAGAAAGCGAGAGTTTTCCTTTGTTGTGCCGCAATTTTGTTTATTTTCAATATGTTGTTCGTTAGCTGACCCCTTCAGATGCTTCATTAAACGAAAGTTTTAAGATTAGAAGATCGTTTTGCCCCCAGGCGAAAAAAAATGCTTTGTTTAAACTTGATGAATTATTCCATCAAAAGTCTTGATTTTTCAAGTTTTGATCATTCTTCAAAAAAATTGTGTCAACTTTGACAGCTTCCTTTCTTGATTTTAATTGAAATGTTTAAAAATGAAGTAAAGTAGTAAATGTTTTTAATATTGCTAAACTGACAATAAAAATGTATATCTTAATTTATAGCTTAAAACAGAATAATGGGAACTAATCTAGTCTGTGGATCAATAAATTAGGTTTAAGGTCTTAAATGTCGCTCTTCATTAACTAGGAACATAAGAAAGTGAGATATAAATAAATAGCATTTTGAAGAAATCTCAAAACAAAAGATTTATACAGCATAAAATATCAAACATACTTATAATAATATACTCTTCAAAAATAAATTACAGTTTACCAAATAAAAATTAAGAACGGTTTACAAAAATTATACAGAACATTGTTTGCTAATCAAAGTATTCTTTTACGTTTTTTGATCGTAGCAAATCTTCTGAATTTGTGTATATTGTTATATAGTTAAGGACATATTAAGTATTTCTTCATTAATTCTAGTGATTTTATACTTTAAAAATATGTTTATTACTTTAAGAATATGCTGGAAAACATAGAAGCTTTCTTGTTGAAAAAAATAAAGCAATTAATAAGTTTCTTTATATAAATTTCTATACATTTTCATTATTTAATCACAATAATTTAATAAAAAAAGTTTTGTATGCATATTTTTACTATTATTACTGTTTGTTCAATAAACTTATTATCCTTTATTATTTATATTTATTATTATTATTAATGCGTCATCAAAAGTTTGAAGCTGAGTTAAAATTGTGGTAAATATTGCAAAATGAGATAAATACATACATATAATATTTGAATTTTCTCTTTTGGATTAAATTATAATGGGATCGAAAAATTATTTCATATGAAAAGGGGAGTTTCTATATTGCCTGAATGTCTTTAAGTTTTTCTTTAATATGCTTGATTAATGGAATATAAAATCTAAACGTAAATTCTTAATTACTCTTGACATATTTGTTTCTTAACATATTTGATATTCCCGGTTAAAAGTTAAAAGCTAAAATTAACAATAGAAATAGAAATAGAAAATAAACAATAGAAACCTAAAACCGATGCTTATATTCAGTATGTCAACGAAGTGTTTTGACAATGGAAAACCTACGATATTCCATGTGTTTCAGCCAACACAAAGTAAGTAAACAGAGCTTTTTAATTTTAAAAAAAATTATATAACGATTATATATGTATTTAAGAATTAATTTATATGAAAAATAACACTATTTAGTTAAATAGCATTAACCAAAAACAAAAACGACCCATTTTTTGGTACCATTTCTGTTAATATTTTTCCTGGCTCATGACTTTGAGCTCCAAACTTGACATTCCCCACCCTGAACCCAATGACCTTCCTCTTCAGGAAAACACCAAAAATTTCCCTTTTGTAAATTATTAAAAATAAATTTAAAATACTTTCGTACTCTACTCACCCTATTGCATTCCAAGGCGGATGCCGAGTGCTCCTCTCGCTGCCGGAAGCAGTGGCTGCACTTGCTCTTGTTGAAAATGTTCGGCGTGAATTTGCGGCAGTCGGCGGTGCGTGTGGCTCCGGCACCCGATGCTCCCGCTGCTGTGGGCGTGGGTGGCGCCGATTTTGAGGGGGCGGCGGCCACAGTTGTTGTTGTTGTTATTGTGGAAGTTGACATTTCGTTCGCTTCGCCCAAAAACAAAAAAAACACTCACAAAACAACGAGAACGCGAAGATGGGGTCGCGGCACGAGGGGGAGAGAGAGACAGGCAGAGGTGGGAGGAAAACACACAGAAAGAGAGAGAGAGAGATAGGGGGAGGAGAGAGAAAGAAAGAAGAATGCGTTCAAGCTTCCGAAAGCTGCAGCATGGCCGAAAATTTAAGGTGACACTTTTTTTATATTATTTTTTTGCGTTTCCTTTTTACGTTTTCGATTCTCGTAAGGATGCTGCCACGCAAGGTGCTGTTACGTAACGATTCTGCCGGCCGTTGCCATTGTGTTTTAGCTCACTTTTCACGCCAACCGACTTTGGGCATTATTTTGTATTATTTGCCTTTATCAGCAACTTGAATTTCACTGCGAATGTGCGGAGCGCAAAGAGAAATTATTCAATTTTGCTTTGCACTTTGATTCTTAGCTTTGGCACATTCACACACATTTACGCACAAAAAACATCGCAAGCTCACGCGCACACACGCACACACACACGAGCTTGCTGCAAACCAGAGCAGAAGTTTGAGATGCTTCTTCTTCTTGGCCTTGTTGTTGCTCTTCCACCTTTTTGTTTTGTTTTGTTTTGTTATGTTTTTTTCTCCTTTATCTTTGTGGTGCTTTGTAGTTGTTGTTACTATTATTTTCGCAGTCGAACCCGGTATGTTCTGACTGTTGTTTAGTATTATTTTTCGGACACAAGTTATTTTGTCAGAATATTTATATTGTCGAGTTTAGATATTCGAAATTAATCCATTAAAACAACCGAATGAAGTTCGTACAACAATCATCCGCCGCGTGGTATAAAAAACTTAGTTTAAGCGAACTTGTTTTTACGTAAATTTGCGTTTTAACCGTCCGGTAACAACCGCACGCCACGAGTTTTCCACACAAACTTTTTTCTGTCAAGCCACTTCGGCCAACGTCGAGGTATCTTATAGTACAATTTTCTCTTTTCTCTGTCGAGCAGGTTTCATACTCTGTTCGATTCCACTGTTGCTCTCTTCTGTTTGATGCCACAAGCCAAATTCTGTTAACTTCTCTCTTTGCAGAACAACTTATTTGTTGTTTCGAACAATTTCATTGCTCTACAGGTTCGAAGTAAACAGCTGGATTGGATTTGGTATGATGAAATGTTACTTGTTCGAACAAGTATTATGTTGGATGCAACCGTGAGAGATTTTTTAAGCACAAAAAGAGTAATTATTTTGCTCTTATATTTGGCTCCAATCGATGTCAAGATTATTTGAATCTTAATTATTGATAAGAAATGGTAATGAAATTAAATGCAATTTAAATGTCTGTTGTTTTGGTTTTCTGATATATGTTTTTCCTATATTTTATTTATATACATAAGCACATTGACGGCTTTAAATAAACTTAGTTTTTGAAAAAAATCAATGGTTGTCTTCGTAAAAAACTTACTTGCAATTTTTTTATAATTAAAAAAAAAAAATATAAATCATATATCATAAAAAATCGATTTTTTTTCATTTTTTTTTAAACCGGAATTCGGTCTTTAAATGATTTTTCTGCTCAGATAATCAGAAACACTCTTGGAAGTTGTATATTTACTCTTAAGCTGTTAACAAAATGTAGAGAATATTGTGCATATTACAGTTGTGGTACAAATAAAAGGGTCGCCACCCATAAGATACAAAGCTTGTTTCGTCATTATTTCTTAACAAACTAGTAAGTTTTATAGCTATTTATATACATGTAACAAAAATAGAGGAAATCAGTTTTTTTTTTATACTTTAAGGTACCAACTAAATCGAAACTAAATTAATCATTTTAAATAGTTTAAAAGGCTTAACGGTAGAAAATGTTACGGAATTTAATTGGCAACATTTTAACATTAACATGAAGCAACAAGTGCATTTTAATGAAGTAACAGTTTTCAGTCAGTTAATTGTGAAAGAGAGTATAGCGCTGTTAAGCAATTAACATTTAAAGGTTGGAGCGAAAATTTAAATATAATGTTAACATTTCACTAAATAATTTAAATATTATGTTAGCATATGAGATATTGGGTTTATAATTTCACATTTCGCAAATTAATTAAAATATTTTACTGGAAAAGCAAATAATTTAGAAAGTGAAAAAATAACGACAATATTTAAATGAGATTTTACATTTAAAAACATTTCTATAGGTACGTATGCTAGGCTTAAATTTTGTATAATATTTTATTTCTAATCTTATTAAAAAATAATGTAAAAAATTTATTACAATAAATACTAAATAATTATATTACAGCATTATTAAAAGTCCTTTTCTCAATGTTGAGTGAATAGTCAGTTTTCTAACTGTCTTATAAATTTAATGCAAATTTTTCTTGCCTCAATTGACGGAGATAACGGAATAACTTTGGTTAATATCCTGCAAAATGTATCTCAACATCCGTTTGTCGTTGTTACATTCTCAACATGAGATACATTTTTCCTCTGCAACATGTTGCAAACTGCCTGTTTTTTGTTGTGTGTGAGTGTGTGTGTGTGTGTATCCCCCTCATTCTCTTTTGTTGTTGTGCCATCAAAATGTGGTTTCGCTTCCGACAGATAATTGATGAGTTCTTTGACTCCTCTGTGGCACTGGAAAGTTATGCTGGTGGAAAAATCAAAGCCGGCAATCATATCGTTTCACAAACAATTTGTTTACGATTTCCCTCGGCGAGAGAGAGAACACAGGAGGCAGAAGAGCGGTAACAATAACAATAACAATTAACTGCACGCTTCATTAACAACCTCGGACAACAAATTTTCAAGTGCGAAGCACATCAACCATTAAGGGAGTGGGAGCGACCGAAGGGAAAATGAACCCTTTTCAGGCATCACAACGAAGCGAAAGAGGAGAGGGAATAAAGGAAGAGAGAGATATTACACTGAAGGAAATTGGAAATAAGTTATATTATACATAGTTATTTTATATTAAATTGTAAATAAATTAAAATATATTATTTTAGTTGCAGCAATATTAGAAATAATGTTATTGAATGAATTTCAAAATAATGAAGAAACAAATTAATTGGTTCACAGAATAATTATTATACTCTTAAATGTTTTAATGTAATATTTTCCTTGTTATTTTCAGAGCTAGTTTATAATCCTCAATAAAATTATTTTGAACAGTTCTTAATCCTTTTTTAAATCCTAGAAGTTCATTATATTTAGAGATTATTCTTAGTGTACCGTAGAACTTGATTAATTACGCTCCTCCAGAGCTCTGACAATTAAATTGAGTTTACCTGAAAGGTAAGTTCAAGGAGGGAAATGCATTCGATTAAATATTTTGACTGATACTTCTAGGAGGCCCCACATAACATATAATGAACAAAAGGTGCTTCATGGTGTTCATTCTGAATAAATAATATGTGGCGCTGCCATGAACCCCAAAGAGTGATCGCCTGAGAACAAAGACTAAGAATAAAGACGGCACAATAATTGTTTAACTTTGTACTAAATATTTACATAAAAGCACATGTATGTTATGGTATATATTATTTACATTATTGTACAAGTTTCTACCATATATAAAAGAAAGAAATATTTCCCCTAAAAATATGATCATATTTAATACTTCAAAAGGTAGCTAAATAATATATAGAAATAGAATTTCGAATTTCCCAGACCTTTAGACAAAAACGTATTTTTTTGGAAACAAGAAGATAAGATATTAGTTTTAGATTTAAACATTATTAATACAATCTTGACAGCTTTTTTAATATTACTAAGAACTTTTAATTCTCATCTGTAAGAACGGTCTCAAAATATAGGGCATTATTCAGTGTTTAGAGTATTTGTCAGTCTACAAATTTCTTATTTATAATAATATTTTATAGTTCTTCTAATTAGTTGTTTAAGCTTTTTCTTATTAATTTTAATTGGGATTTCTAAAATTTTGTTGCGAGAAAGGTTTTTAACATAGATAAATATGTTATTATAGTCCATGTAAATATAAAAAATCAAAATTCTAACTATAAACATTATTTTTCTTCTTTTTTATTAATACCTTTTTTGAAAGATATTACGCCAAACCAGCTTTTACAGTACTATAAATCGAATTAAAATATTTTATTAATAAAGTTATAAATAGATAACACAAAATGCGTTTCATTGGCTAAGAGTATCCTTAAAATTTTTACCTAATTCCTTTCCAAAATTTTTCAGTAGGAAGTACTAAATTTGTTTACATTACAATTGAATTTACAGAAAGCGAGAGTACTACTTTTCAGATTGATTCTGTAAGAACCATGGGAGTTCATTGACCGACCATCAAGGCTATTGTTACCTGTGTACCTGGCATTTACTTGGTAATTAGTTGATTTCGAATTGTGATTCGACATCGAATCCGGCTGCCTCTTGTGCAATTGCCGAAAATGCAGCCGATCGATCGCTTTCGGTTCTGCTTGCAGTTGTTGCAACTGTTGCATTTGCCAGCTGCCTTTGCAACAAAACATTGCATGATAATGGCTTCTTTTTTCTGCCCATTGTTGTTGGTGTGTCTACTGTTGCTGTTGTTGTTTTATGTTGTTGTTGTTGTAATACCTGCATAGCTTAAAAATGCATTACCGCATATCGATTTCATCGGAGAGGGACACACACTCAGTTAGCCACCGCCACCGCTCGTTTTTTGCACATTTTCCACTCTCATTCAAATGTCAATCGAGTCACGAAATGAGTTGTCCCCCTTAAAGATCGTCCCACTGCCGGCACTCAAAATGAATTCAAAATGCGGTGGAAAAAACTATATGAGAAGAAGGAAAACCTATTTCCCTAAATAATTTCAGGGGATCCTTTTTCTGCATCGAATGCATCGATGTGATTAAACTTAAAGAGGGTTGCGACAAGTCAAAAACATTAATGCAGAAAATCATTTCATCACAATGATTTCATCAAGCCTGAACAATAGAAATCAAGTAAGAAAATTAAGGCATTAAACCAAAATTTACAAATCAAATAGGAGTTTTTATCTAGAAAAATTAACCTGTTTGACTAAAATATTTTTTGGGGTTTTATGACAACTTCAGTAAAATGTAAAGTCACAAATTTACTATTTTAGTCATCTTTAAGTATGCTAATTCAATAATTTTATTAATAATAAAGAGTTTATCTCTATATTATAAATTATTTTCTATTATATTTATTTATTTAATCATATTATAATATTTTATTTTTTGCAATTAGTAAATATATTTATTTACTATACTTTGAACTTTTTTATATTTTGCCTCATAGTTGTAGTGTCGTTAATCTATTATTAACTATTAATGTTTCTCTTAAATTATTTCTCATTAATGCCTAATTTTTCTTAAATTATTTTTCATTCATTAAAGTTAAGATTATAGATATTTTGTTCTATAGAGTTGAACAACTAAATTTTAAACTCAACTATTTTGAATGATATAAATATAAACTTATTATTTATGAAAAAATTATATATTTCACGATAACGTATGAATATGTCGGAAATCTTTTATTTATTTGATTATAAAAATATTAATAGGTAAAAGTTTAAGTTATTCTATACTTTTAATTAGAAAACTATGATGTTTGCTTAGGTTCATAGAAATGTAATACTATAGTTAAGACTTTTAATTGCTCAACGAAATTCTTTTAAAAAAAGGAAACCTTTTTCAATATTAAAAAACATTGTGAAAATTGTACCTTTATTATACAGAGATGTAAATAAATGAAAAGTTGAATGTTCTTATTTAAATTTATTTTAAAATTACCATATTAAAGAAACCAGTTCATATTAAATAAATTGCTCTTCAAAAAGCAAGATGGTTGCTTGTATCAGTTGTATTACAAGTAAATGTGTGTTAAATATAAACATTATATATATATATATATATATATATATATTTTATAAGTTTTGA